CTAACTCAGTACAAGGTACTCATCATAACATCCTCCCAAAGAAACGAGGTCACATTTACAACAGTAGATGTATACACGTGCGAGAAATGATTTAATGGATATAGCACAAAATCAAACTGATTTAGACGTCAACGGTTTCATGTCTTTCATAGACCATCCTATTACAAATGTGATTTGTGTTCAAAAAGGCTTCAAAGGAAATGCCCTATACGTATGCATTTGAAGGTCTATCACGGTCGTGATACATACATAATTAAAAGTGTCAAGCATATGCTGTAATTTGACAAAACATTGAGAAACATGTTCTACGATTTAAAAATATAGTGTGGAGTACCGAATCCTACCGACACATCTACGTGCTCTAGGTGTCCAAATTTTTCCCCCTTCGATAATCAACTTACACAACATGCAAGATAGCAACAATGATAAACAATAAACTAGGACAGACGTGAGTGATAAAGTTAAGAAATAACTTTAATAAACGAAAAAGAGTTGGTGAGAATGATTTTACGTCGCTTTTAGCAATATACCAACAATCGGCGAGGGACACCAGAAATTAGATTCCCACAGTGAACGCTTTAACCACTCGGTAAACCCCACTGCCCCATAAACGATAACGAAATGCAGAAAAGTAATTTAAACATCTCTTGATCAGAGCACAAGTGACATACACGATAACAACAACGAGGTTGAAATGGTACAAAAAGACAAATTTGATAGCATACACAATCCTAAACAAAAAGCAACCAAACGGCGTGAACAAAATGTTATTCGCGGCCAGGCAATAGATTATATGAGGGAAAAATCAGGGATCATAGATTTCACAGATGGAATACAGAATGTTAGATTTTAGAACCAAAGATTTTAGGAATCATTGATGGAATCTCGGGCGTATTTTGAAGGAAAGAAACTTTAACTTCTTTGCATCACCTCAAAAGCGAATCCTAAGATGGTAACATTCATCCCACTGCAACAAGAGTCAAGTGTATCTAAGGAAAGAATGATTTCCACACAATTGCTGGTCGTCTTGTAACTTGGGATGTAATGTGAGACGATAAGCAAGATTTAGCTCCCCTCGCGGGTCAGAATATATTGGAAAGGCCCACAGGGTTGTAGTAACCAGTAGTACTTTACAGAACACTGTCTAAACATTAAGTCTAAATATAGCAGACCACTGTAACCCCCGCCTAGCTACAATGCTATAAACGTGGAACATTGGCATTGTTACCCAGTGAACAACACTGCCACACATCCGTACACTTATCTCGAGTTTGTGGTCTGACGTTCTCTGCCGTGATATTCTGTTGCCGTCACGTTCTACGTTGTATTCATGTGGACGCTACATTGACGTGCGACGTCACGATGCGAGCATTCCCTTAACCCATTATCTGTCATTGTTGCTTGTCGTGACATGATCTAAACTATGCACATGCTGCACTCCGAACGAACTAGCCTTTTACAGAGAGCATTTGAAGCAGTCCTGAATATTCTTTGTTACTTCAGCAGCATTTGTTTTTTTAATATTTATTGTGTTTTGTTCACATTAATTTTCATGAATCCATGCTAAGGTTTGTAAATGCATGTGTTGTAAGGCACGTAATGCTTACCCTTCTGCTAACACCCGGTGTCATCATTCAGTTGTCCGTTCGTGTGATTTGTATGACTCTTTTGGACCTTCACAGCAAATGGAATCGACTTCTCATGATAGTCCAAACGTGGTAATCTGTTTCACTGACTTTTCATATTTTCAGTTGAGGATAAAAGGCAACATATCTGTGTTATAAATAGTATCCACAGAACACTATAAACACAAATCTGATACGAATTAGTCAGCCATGCCTATTCAGCGAGACCAGATAAGACTAGATAAAGCGAAAGATAAAATGTTTTCCTTATTTGAGGGAAAGTGTTTTCATTGTCCGATAACGAGGTTCGGTCACAATAACGACATGACCCTCCTGAAGGTGAGCATCGCCGTGGTGCTGCCTCTGGTGGTGGACTGTGTGTGTGAACCCGGGCTTCAGGCCTGTGAGTGGGAGTCTTGGGGTGTGTGGAACTCCTGTACCAGAACATGTGCTGGGCTGAGAACCAGAACACGGAAGATGTGCTGTGGAGTTCATGTTCCAGACTGTATCGGTAAATGTGGCCGACCCAACACGTCTGTGGAGACACAGCCATTTGCGACACACTGCCCCAATGGTGGAAGCTACATTGATGGCTACTGTCACTGTCCTCCTCTCAGATATGGAATTTGTTGTGAACGAGGTGAGAGTTATAGGATAATAATCAGCTTTTCGATTTACCAATGAAGTTTGTTTCTTATGTTACCTAGCCCTGTTACGTCATGTCTGGTCTCTTTGGTCGTGAGATTATAAGGCATCGTAGGCTTGTTTAAGTTGTTATGTGGTGTGAGTAAAGGTCATTGTAGTAAAGATAGTCACTGCTTGTTCATAATTCTCAATAATTACTTTAAGAATGTTTGTCAGTAAATTTCTGAGTGTGTTTTTGTCATATTTGGAACTATTCTTGAATCGAGCTTGTTGGAAAAAGAAGGCGCATCTTCCCGTCATTCATGACAGACCATAAGATTGGATACAGTTTAGGATGGTAGACAACAGACGGAAGACAGCGGCAGCCATGTTTATAGTGGTTGGGGAATAATGGTCGAAATGGTACAAGTTGATGGTAACAAGGTGACAGAACGCACACCGGAGCCGAGTGGCTAATATACATGGGGTGGAGATCCGCTCTGTCACTTGCAGATGTTGGACGGTGATTGTTCATCGACGCCTAGGCCGACGCCACGACTAGCAGCTCAATCCGTCCGACTTCTGTCGATGATCCGGGCCAAAATCCCAGACTGGAGACCGTATCTCCGATTCGTCTATCAGACTGATTATGTCAGTAAGGCTTAATACGTAGGGACATTACGCCACGTTGGGCAACCCACTTACACATGTACAAACGTAAGATCCGTTAGCATTGAGACTTAACGGTTCAGCCCGGAAGATGGGATACACCGAATGTTTGCTGAATACATTAAACAGACAAAGGGGATAGAATTTCGGTGCACTTTGGACATAGATTGAAACAAACAGGTCGTTTGAATACATTAAGTTTGAAAGAAATGAAATGGTTTGATCAATGACAATGCTAAATAGTATAGGCTGGGCTGCAAACGTCCTGTACCGGTATATTTCATGACATGTTTTACAGACGAGACGGCTGCGTCTGGTGACTGTGCCCGACACTGCACGTGGATGAACTGGTTCTCATTGGGAAACTGCAGCACAAACTGTGAATGTGCAACATGAACCACGCAAAGATGGCACAGTTGTCACATAGTGTTGAGCAGTACTGAGTGTACAGCTGCATGCAACTTCCGGGACAAGAGCACTGAAGAGAGAGTCTGCACTAAACAATGCACCCTGAATTGTAAGGGGTGGGGTCATAGACTGAAACAGTTATACTGTATGTGTCTCATAAAATCCTAAGCGTTTGTCATATACAGGTCGAATTATTTATTTTTTGAGACCTTAATGTTAACAATAATACAAAGAGGTTGTTTATTCATATATTGTTATCCTATCTTCCTGCTCCAACTTCTGAAGGTCTCTCAAACAAGCTAATACAAAGACCACCAGGCATTGAAAGTTAAGGTCATGCCATGCCATGTTGTAAGTGAGAGCTGTTATATGTATATATACATGGTCACGATCTCAATGAACATTTGGTTGAAACTTTCCAGAAGGCCACACTATGAAGAAATATGTAGTAGACAGAACGAGAGACATGGTATGGCAGTACTCAAATGGTTACCACAGTCAACCACGTTCCTGCTACAATTCACCATTTCGCGTCAATTTGTACATTTTGCTTACAGTTAATCCCTTCCGTCTCTAATATGCGAGGTCCCATGCTTGTCGTAAGAGTCGACTAATAGGATCGGGGTCGCTGACTTGGTTGTCTGGACAACACGCAACAATAACATTAACAATAGTATGGGAAAATTGACAAACTTAATGAGTGCATTTAATAAAGTGAAACGACAAAACCCGTTCCACATCCATAAGAAATCTCGACTATTACATTGTGACTATGTTATGTGCATATACTTGTTTCAGCAGTATTACAGCTGTATGACGTTGTTGTAAACCAACAACAAATGAAACATATCAATTCCAAGAATATACTATCTTCACGTAGACCAGAGTCAGACTTGCCAACTTTGTTCCTGGAACGCCTGGCAACCTTGGAGCAGTTGTAGCCAGACATGTGGCAGACAAGGTCACGGTCACCTTGTTGCTGTGAAGGCCAAAGCAATAAGGACTGTCTGTTTGACTGCCGGTTGTCGGAGGAAGCCTCATTTCAATCCGAGAACAATCCGAGAAATTTGTTTTAACAACGGAAGCTTCTCAAGCAGCATCTGCCACTGTGGACAAGGCTATTCTGGATCTTGCTGCACTGATGGTAGGATGCTTCTTTATGTGTTGATTGCTGAGTATGGCGCGACACCTGATCATACTGTTAATGCCATAAAGAGCATCCTAGATGTGTACCCGTGAAGCACCGGGTTTGAACGATCCTACAGTAACCCATGCTTGTCGTAAGAGGCGTCTAACGGGATCGGGTTGTCAGGCGCACTGGCTTGGTTGACACATGTCATCGGTTCCCAATTACTCAGATCGATGCTCATACTGATGACCACTGGATTGTCTGGTTCGGACTCGATTATTTACAGATCTCCGCCATAAAGCTGGAATATTGCTGACTGCGGCGTAAAACTAAACTCACTCACTCATGGATGTGTACGTAGTACACGAAAGGTTGTCATTGGAATAGAATGAACTCCGACGGTGTCCTAAACCACACAAGGGTAAGGGACAGCCAGAATATTCCTCTTTCATAGTGCTCATATGGGCTATGAATAGAATTGTATTCTTTCATTATGACTTTCTATTTATTGAATTTTGAATGAAACCTTTCTAATTTCATTTCAGAGGTAACTGATGGCAAGTGTACAAAATGCACCTGGGGGATGTGGGGACGGTGGGGACCTTGCAATGACTCCAAGAACGGGGGAGGTAACGAGAAGGAGATCCCTCTGCTGTCGTATGAGACAAAAGGAGAACGAGTGTTACGTCCAGTGTAAGCGAGAGAGACATGGAACTGTCGACATGAAACAATGTGACCTGTTTATAGTGAAAGGTAGGTCAAATATGAAACAGTTAAATATAATAACGCCAAACGCCGTCAGCCTACATTATCCGTACTTATTAAGGTCGTGTCAGATGGCATAAGGGGCGGTGGGGTAGATTAATTGTTAAAGCGTCCGCTTGTCACTATGAAGACCAGGGTTCGATTCCCCACATGGATACAATGTGTGAAGCGCATTTCACGTTACCCTTGCCGTTTTATTACCGGAATATTGCTAAAAGCGGCGTAAACCCATACTCACTCACTCAGATGACACAATTGTCGTGTCGGACACAGTGTTAGTATATACCATATGTGTTCCCCACTACCATTCCAGAACAGAGTCAACATCGATCATCAGAAGTTCTTCAAAGGCGTTTACATGTAGGACGAACAATATATACTTCAGGACGAAATGGAATACTATTTAGTATGATGTATATATTGGTTAACAGTTTCAGATTCAACCCAAATTCACTTCATGTACACCATCATCGCCTCTGTCGCATCCATTGTCCTCACGTCGTTTGTCTGGTAGGTATGATACTGCCATGTGTACCTCTCTGAGTGAGTGAGTGAGTGAGTGAAATGTGTATGTGAAATGTGTATGAGTGAGTGAATTGTACGATTCCGACTATGTTCCGACACTGCTGCCATGTGTGTGAGTGAGTGAGTGAGTGAGTGGAATGGAGGGAGTGGGTTTCCAACATTGTTCCACTGTATCTCACGCGGGCCTTGTAGGTGAGTGACATACTATTATTCAATTTGAATATTTATTCAATGAATCTAGCAATACCAAAATTAAATATCCACGGTCATAAGAAACGTTTCCGTCCACTGTACGATTCCGACGAAATCATAATGTCACCTGCGCCAGTCGCTGTAGTAACCACAAACCTCACAACTGATTTCAATCCAGACAAAGCCTCCAAGTCTACAAATACAGATACATGGGGTCCTACTGACGTAAAGACAATAGAAAGCAATATCTCAATGTAAAGTAAAACATAAGAGATGCTGTTTTAGATAATGTCAATATTCCATTTTCAGGACTGGTGCTTATTGCATCAGGAACAGGAAGTGCAGAGGAACACCAGACCAGCAGGGGTCATGTGATGTCAACTGTCCAGCTGAAATGGACAACTATAACAGTCAGCATGCTGACCGGAGAGACGTAGCTCGCAACGTCAGCCAGAATACATGCTATGACAATGATGCATGTGAGCCCGTGTATGAAAACCCACCAGACCTGTTTAAATAATGCGCCCATTTTTGGTGTCCCCTGCCGTACCATAGCTTGAATTTTAATAAAAGCGGCGTAGAACAGGCGTAAAAAAGCAAATACCATAAGGTTATAATAGATGAAGTTTAGCTCTGCAGATTGCTTTGGAATAATAAATATCCATTGTTGGGAACAAACATTGGAATTTGTGGGTAGTTGCAAGGTAAGTACTATGAATAGTCGTTTTCAAAGGGAGGCTACTCTAGTCTGTGCAACTTCGTGCGTGTTTAGACTGTCCTGCCAAATTGTTCCGTAACTACAAAATAAAGACCGCAGTGAAAACCAAAACAAAAGCAGGGTGAACTGTTTTCAATTCGGAAAATTCGCCACTGCGGTCTTTGGCTGCAAGCAAAAACAGTGAACCCGATCCCAATGTCTGTCAGCACTGTGCTGTCATTATGGACTGGTTAAAAGCGAGACCACAGCGAGGAAAAGCTGAGGGAGTGAGTATGGTTTTACACCGCTTTTAGCAATATTCAAGCAATATCACGGCGTGGGACACCAGAAATTAGCTTTGCACGTTGCACTTGAACGCCCGTTCTCGTTCCTCTGGTGACAATATTGGCATTGCAAAATAAACTTTACTTGCGGAGGTACAGCTAAAATGAGAACGGTTTTTTGCCAACGGTCATTTATACCCCTTATCAGCATGTTTTACGCATGCTATTTGTGCTTTTCATGTGTGTTGTGCATGAATTTTGTTGTTGTCATATGATGTGTTCCATGATGTGTTCGGGCAATCCGTTCTTTACCGTACAGCATTATTTACTGTCTTTTGTGTTATTAACAACATTTTCAACGTTCATTTTCACTCTCAAAACAATCCTATTACCATATTTCAAACTTTACAGATGGTGCGTTTTCAATGATGTTCAGTATATCAGGTGAGTGAGTGAGTGAGTGACATGGCACTTGCAGCAAGTAAACTCACCGTAAACACAAAAGGATTCAGTGCGCATTTCGGAAATCCAGTAATCGTTCCGTATTATGGAATATTTTGTATGAGAGAAATAGATCTACAGACTTGGATATCAAACACAGCTGTTATGAAGAATACTTTCTACTGAATTAGGATCTGTTATATAGTTATATATCAAGTATATGTAAAAATGAAGTAAGGAAACGGAGTTATTTTCGTTTTCGTTTGAAGTGGAAATAGTTTGGGAACCGTTACCTCAGTTTATCCCATACAAATGTGAAATACTCTTAGCCACAGAGGTAATCATATCTGTTCTAACTTTATATAACGTATAGATCTACATCAAAAAGATCAGTTTGGGCCAAGGGCTTGATTCAAAGTGCTTAAATGTTTCAAACAGTCCCCAAGACCTGTTATCAGCCTATGTGTTCTATCCTACCCTATGCATCGGATGTTTTTAACTGCTGGCGAATTCATAAATACACTTGCTTCTGGCCGTTCTGTAGCCTGGACATGTGTCAATAACTTCACAGTGATGAGGAAAATACCCATATCTATCAAAACAAGGAAGTACTACGTGCATGGAAGTACAGTCGTTAACCTCTTTGTTACAATATGACGATATAAACTATCTGTGAATATTTGTGTGATGTACACTGTAATACGTATCGTTTAAGCAATATTAAATCCTCAACTCAAACGGCAAGGCAAATTAATTCTAAAATGTTGCAATGCCGTATGCTATGACTCGTTTCCATGACAATACCATTCCAAACCCATTGCTAAGTACGACTATTGGCAACGGGCTGTGAGGTAACTGTGAGTCTACGTATGTCAATGACATATGGTCATGCTTTCAACATTTCTGTCCCGAGTCAGCGTTGAGTGTTTACAATCTACAGTGATATTGATTCGGGCACTGAATATTCTCATACTCTTTTTGATATCCCTATTTGAATTACTTTACAGCTACACGGACCCTATCGAGCACTGTGGCTAAGAACAGTTCTCTTATATGTATGCGTGAAGATCCGGGTAAGAATTGGTCTTCAGCCAACAATGCTTGTTGTCACAGGTGACTAACGGAATCGGGTGGTCAGGCTCGCTGACTTGGTAGAAGTGGCCACAGGGCTATAGTACAAAGTCAGATAACGAAATGCCATACAATCACAATGTCTACAGACGGTGTTTTGTATATGCAGAAACAGGGTGGATATACAAACCAAGTTTGCAAATGTTACTTGTATTATTAGTTTTCATTAACAGAGCAGGACAGAAAGAGAACGAGTGTTATGGACAGTGTTGCAAATACCGTTATCTTTACTTTTACGCAAACTGTTGTAGCACTCAGCAATTTAAAGTACAGCACCACAAACTTTAAAAATACGTCATAATGCCCTTTTACGTAAATTTATGTGATTTTGTTCGAAACCACCTTCTCGAAACAATGCCCTATGACGCCGGCATAGCAACACGGTTGTCCAGCTCAGCGAGTGCGTATAAGTTCCACTCACTGGTGTTTCATCTCTACTAGCTATGTCATTGCAAAAGCCCAACGATATTGAGAGTTTCCAGTAGTTGTATACCGGCGGACGGCAATTTCTTGCAAGCACCGGTTTGAAATATTTTTCTTTTTTTCACTAATACGCTCATATTCACTTGTATTACGGGGTGCTGAGGTGTTATATTTTGTGTATTTTTGTATTTTGTATTTTTTTAATTTAGTGAGAATGCGTTAAACCGGTCTATATTATATATATTCTGTTATTAGCAATTTTGGTCAATGTAATTATTAAAATTAAGTAAATATATTTTAAATTTCGTTTTCTACGTAACTATTAGGTCTAAATGATTTACCAATGTGAACTGACATACATATACATTTTTTTCATTCTGTAATTTGCAATACTTACAGCTCGTGGCGGCGGTCTGCAAATAGTTTTGACCCGACCATCGAGTGATCAACAGCATGAGCATCAATCTATGCAATTGGGATACGACCACCCAATCCGGTTAGTCGACTCTTACGACAAGCATGGGTTGCTGAATACCAATTTAACCCGGATCTACAACAAAACATCGTCCAAACACACGCTCTCACTTCCTCTCCAGATACAGCTGTAGTCTAGCAAACAACTTGTTTGTTCTCGTTTAAGCCTAGTTTAGATGAAATAACCCTAAGATGAATAATGCGAAAATATGTTTTATTCTGAAACAATATCATCGTTTGTACTGTCAAACAAGCAAACATATTATACCTGTATAAGTTGCCTGTGTTGTCCATACATCTGTGATTCCCGAACAAATGAGACAATCCACATGTTTAAGGAATGAAAGTAGTTTAATTCTGAGAAATGTACGCATAATAATAGTTGATAAAAATGAAACAAAAATACCAAAAACTATTGTTAACAGTGCCCCACAGATATTGTTCTTGTCTACATAAACGGAAACTACTAAAGCTGTGATGTTATACGATACAATTTTAATGCACTGGCACGTGTAACAGAGATGAATATCGATGGTGAATTGTGAATAGCTATTACGACAGCGATGTGAAACAGATCCTCAAGTTACATGTCAAAGTCACATTTCAAAGTCACATATCAAAGTCACATTTCAAAGCAAATTCCAAAACAGTATTGACACACAAAAGTGGTGGATGAATATCAATAACTAGTTAAAGTAAATGAAAATCAAAATAGTCTACAAATATAAAGAGACATATACAATAAATGTAAACCAGGGCCTAGAT